GTAGGAATTGGTTGCAATATAACCCAATGAGATCTTGGTTCTATGGAATATGAATATTTGGATTCATAATATTTATTTAATATAAGTAGAATGGAAAGTTTTTTTCATGCATAGTTGCAGGGTTTTTTTTTTACGGAATGCATAGTTGCAAGTTGAGGTGTGCTTTTTCCTATGCGTAGTTGCATGTTGAGGAGACATGTTTACATGTTGGGGAAATATATGTTGATCGGTATCAGCTATTAATTACATATTAGGTCTCGTTTGAAACGACGAATAAGTGGAGGAATTTTTAAGGGTTCCAATTGGTTGGTTTCATCGGATTTGAGCTTAGATTGCAGTTCATTGGGAAATTGTTCATACATGTCACCAGCAACTAACTGAGTGGTCCAACTAATAAGCTGAGACAAACTTTACTGGAAAAAGGGTGACTGCGATCTTTATATGGGACATCTGTGCGGGTGAGGTTTGTGCCTCTGTTATGCTATGGTTGTGTTCCTGACAGATAGATGCAACAATCGCGAATGAAAAGAAAATGTAGAATGCAAAGTAGATCTGATTCCATAGATGACAGAAAACAAAGAGCTAGCCCTTCTATATATATACATACATGGAGTATCTATCAATTAAAGGCCACTCATCGTCTATTTTTATCTCAAAAATATAGTACTCCCTCTGTAAAAAATATATTTCTTTACATAGACCATGGACGGAAAAGCTAGGCAGGGACAGGGTACAGGAAAAGGGTTTCCTAGTCCTAAACTAGCCGATGCCCACTAGCAAGTTTAAGTGAGTGACAAATTTCGTACTGTCAAACTGGGTTAACTGTAAAGGAACCAATGCTAAGCGTCCCTGATGCATCCATCATCCTCCACGCCGAAAGGCTTCATTCTGCTTGCCGGAGAATAAATATGTGTGACGCTAATCACCAGATGTGTAGCATCTAGTAATGCATTCGGGAACCTAATGCTAGAGTGTCTCTCTCTTCTTTTCTTTTCTTTTCTTTTTTAGCAAGGGATAAGAGTTTACTTTTGTGAGAGGTTTTGAGAATATGTACATATTTTACTGCAGATGAAATATATGTAAATTACACCCGGCTTGTTACCTTTTAAATAAAAGGGATTATGGGTTGTGTTCCTTGATTACTAAGCAAACAAAATATGGTCCCTACGAATGAATGAAATGAATGAATCCACCCAAGTGATGTTTCTCCGAGACCCACATGAGAGTACATATGACCGCGTACCTAGATCCAATTGGGCGTGATGTTTCTATCTAGTCTAGAGGCGCGAGTTTGAGCTGACAGTCATATATCAGCAGCCGGCAGCCACCTAGTTTTGTTGACATATGACCCTGTTTGTATCAGATTAAGGTGGAGTTACAGACCCCACTGGGCATTACCTACCACGTGAAGGCGTGTACGATGGTTCTATCTTAGCAGTGCACGTAGGATAAATGGTGAGGTGAAGGAAAGAGAAACCAGAAAAAAGGCTTTGCCTTCTCTTATTTAAGAAATGATCTCTTAGCCCCAAATCTCTCACCACTTTAGGAATAACTTGTTACTAGAGATAAGATTTAGAGAGAACCCATTGTACACCATATTTTTCTGTCATCTCTAGATTACGATAGGATGTCTTATCAACCATTACTTGGCTGGATTAAGATAGAACTGTCTTATCAACCATTGTACATGCCAACCAAAGGCAGAAATAAACAGAAAGCCCATGTTGGAGTCATTTTGATGCACTGTGTGTACAAAAGCTATTCGAGGATAAATAACAGTGTAAACGTTGAACATAACCCATGTGTGTGGGGAACCCTAGTACTTTGGGATCTAACCCATGTGTGTGGGAAACCCTAGTACTTTGGGATCAAGTAGATCGAATACGGTACCAAAATCTAGATTGGTTAAGAGCGCACAAAAGCCTGTTCTAGAAAGCAGGATGACAGCATTATGCATATGAACGAATACATAGAATGCAGGCGGGGCAAATCGTAAGGCGGTTCTATAGAAAGCAAGACATGATCCGAATGTGAACAAAGTCCAACAGGGGGTTGATCTCACTAGCCATTGAACACTGTTATTTTATTGCTGATTAGTGAGTGGTTCGCGAAGACATATCAGAACTAGTGTAACAAAAAAAGGCACATCTCAGAACTGTAATTCACGTGCCGACACGGAGACTATCGTTCCTGCGATGCAGAGGCAGATCCACTACGGTATCATCAGTAGCAACAATTCCTCAAGCAGCAACCCACTCGGAAACATAGTAATCCTCTACTACCACCCCGTCCGAAGATTACTCCTCCACACACTACCACTGAGCATTATCCTTGTAACATCTTAGTTTCCCCCTGTTTTTCAAACGGCAGGACGAGTTCCTTGCCTGGCACAATGCATACAGCTTATAGGTATTACTGAACTCAGGGACCGGCAACTTGAAGAAATACATACCAATTTTAAGGGCATATAAATGCAGCTGCTCCAGCTGACATTTATTTACCACATCAAAGGTGTGATCAGCTTCCAGTACACCACCAAATATCGCTTTCAAAACAGCAGTTGCGGACAGAACGAAAACGTTTATTTGTTATTCAAAGAGACCCTACTTCTCAATAACTGATGAGGGATTACAGCTTACACCTGGTAGAGGCTCCCATCCAATGTGATCAATGGAGGTGAAATGAACTGCAAATGGAGCTTACCAACAACGCTAGGAACATATGCCATCTACATATCAAGTTATTAGAATGCAGAAAATGTCTAGGAAAAAAGAACTTTACAGCTTGCACATGAAATGGTCTTGGAAGAATCCACTAAAAGAAATCAAATTCAAGATAATTGTCTGGACCTTTCTCGGCTGACGGTGTTGCCTTCTGACTTGTCGAGGCTCCTGGCCGAGGGATTTCAACTGGCTTGGGGATATCTGGAGGAGTAGCGCACCTTATCAATGCCCAGTTAACACCTTCAAAGAACGGGTGCTGCTTTATTTCTGTAGCTCCACGTTTGTACGCCAATCGATGCTGCGGCTCCTTGATCAGCAACCCCCTTATGAGATCCCTTGCAGCAAAACCCACAACAGGTGATTCTGGGAACCTGAGGGGCTGGCCAACAACATTGAATAGCGTTGCCCTGTTCCCTGAACCTTTGAATGGAGTCTTGCCGAAAAGAAGTTCATACAAGAATATGCCAAAAGTCCACCAGTCCACAGCACTCCCATGTCCCTCACCCTTTATGATCTCAGGTGCCAAGTATTCATGGGTGCCTACGAATGACATAGACCTTGCATCTGTGGGCTCTGCAACAAGCTCAGGGAGCGGTCTGACCTGGGTTGCCATGTCTGCCTTTGCCTTCTTTTCCTTCTTCTCCCTCTTGGACTTGGAGGAGAAAAAGCGAGGAGAGAAGCATGTGGTTGTCGTAACGCAAGCAGGCTGGATACAGGCTGGCTCAATGCACACGGGTTGTACACAATAAGCTTGATTGCCCTTTTGGTTAGGATCTACACCAGGGTTGGAAGATTTAAGAAGTGTAGGGTTCACATCACAACGAAGGGACAAATCAAAATCTGACAGCATGATGTGGCCATCTTCTCTCACAAGAACATTCTCTGGCTTGAGGTCCCGATATATGATACCGAGCATGTGCAGGTATTCTAGAGCAAGAAGCACTTCTGCTACATAAAACCTGTACAAATATTTTAAAGATAAACATGAGTTTGTACACTTAACATTGTTTGTTAGTACCTAAAACCATCACATGATAAAGAATGTTATGTAATTGCCGAACATGTAGCGCACCAAGCCTGTGCGCCAGGAAATGTACCATAGGCACAAGGTTGAGCTAGAGATATGCCTTTTATCTCTACTTTAGTTGCCACCTTTCAATTAGCAATTCAGTTGGTTAGTTCCATATTGTTAGTATTTTCTGGGATCTTTGAACAGCTTCTCCCTGTATCTAATGGACTTGCCCATGAGGAATAGATCAACCAATCAAGAGCACTACAATGAATCATCCCAGTCTTAATCTCTCCTATTCTAGCAGCCACACTGTCCCTAACCTATTGGAAGTAAATAATCCGGCATGAAAACATGGCAACCGAGATAAACTGTCAAAAGAGTCATTTCCAGAAAGAGAGGAAATGCATTAATCATAAGAAACTCAACACTAACCACAAACAATATTAATAAAAACCACTGCATACAGAAGTGGGGGAAAGGGAAACTCGCGGAAGACACGAGTACATGTGCAGTTGTAGTTCAAAAAGTGTTAAAAGTACACTACATAGTACATCTCACACATAATAAGGAACAACAACAAAGCATGACGTCAAAAGGGCAGAAGGACAGCTTGTAACTTCCAATTAATCCTAAAATACAATTAAGGTTTGTAATTGAGCATGCTATGTTGCCCTAGACCCTAGTACCTTGAAAAATGAGTAGTGCAACTGAATTAGGCATCAGATACACATATACATAAGTGAAGAACGTACAAAATACAATGGGTATTACTACGCTGCAACATTTTATGTGGGTACAGAAAGTAACTCCCCAAACAGTAGGAAAAATGAACACAAACAATATAAAATATTGTATAGAAAAATAAAAATGTTACAGACATGCTGAAGGTATATTTTCATATGCCTTTATTCAGACAGTTGATACGGCTTATAAGTTATAACCATTTAAAAGATGCAGTTATGTCCACTCCAAAGCAAGCTTCATTAAATAGACTGATAAAAGAAACAAAAGGTATATTACACAGTACAGAAAACACTAGTCTCTCATGAACAAAGCACCCAACTGAAGAACGTTTCACTTCAAGACTTCAAGTACATTGCCGTAAACAAAGAAAATCTATATCACATTAGATGTACCTTAAGGCCTATGTTACCACATACTCCCTCAGTTCCTGAGAACAAGGCATACATATTTTTTGCCAAAAAAATCCTAGCCCATAATACCCTCGTTTAATCACTACTGTTGCTGAACGGATCCCTTAGATTACAGCTACATTAACTGCATGCAGTTACACCTCCTTTCAAGATTGGCTCCACTATTACCTCATTCCTCGCGTCCAAAGAATCGTTCGCGAACCCACAAGAGAGTAATTTTCCAGGGGCAAGTTGGGAAACTAATTTTGACTGTGGGTTCTCCTTGGGGTGGGTGCTGAGAAATTTACGCATAACTAATAGGAACGTAGGGAGTAATGGACATGGATGTGTGGTCAAATTACTTATATAGATTAGGGATTCCAAATCAATGATAGAGGTAGCTACAAAGCATTTATTTTAGTGTTACAACTTGTTGTGTTCGAGAGCAAATATACCCAGTTCAGAAGACAAAAGCCTAGTGTTAATCATAGTTTGGTTGGCTACTCAGATAATGCAAGCACAGGATAGGAGCTGATAAAGGAGAAATCACTACACAGTAATCAGTGTTGTATTTAACAGGTAAGATCCCAGGAGTCTAAGTACCTCAAGTAAAAGAAGTGGCATTTACAGAAGCTCGTCCATTAGAGGCGCTCCAGATAATTTGGAGCATTACTGCCACTTCTAGTGCTAACAAGCCTACTACCAACGACAAATAATACGTGACTACGGATTTTGTGATCCCTGAGACTTTACATAATATGAAATCGCTCTGAAAATTATGTTCTTCTAAATCAAAAATGAATCCAGCAACAGCAGCAATTAAAATTTCCAACATTCCTTGCTAACAGTAATAGAAAAGTTCCCCAGGAAAAGAAAAATAAAGATAGTTGCTAACCATAGAGGCCAAAAAAAAAACACAATACTGTTAAACCTAATAAAATAGAAGAGGACCATATGTTCCAAGAAATTGAAATCAACAATTGAACAATAAGATAAAAGATATAATTTGTCACCACATCTTGAAAGTTGAAAGATCTTCAATTTATAGTACTGAACCAGTTGTATTAGTAGACAACTGGATGGTTTATAAGAACGGATAAGGATTGGTTGATAGTGTGATAACATTTGCATATCTATCAGTAAAATAAATAAATTGAAGAGAAAGAAAACTCTTACTTGGCAGCTTGTTCGGGGAAATACTTCCCAGGCTGCTTCTGCCTTAGGGTATGAAGGTCTCCTCCAGGGCAAAACTCCATCACCAAGCATGAGAATTTATCAGTCTCAAAGTGGGTGTACAAAGTCGGAAGAAAAGGATGGTCTAAGCACTGCAATATCTCCCTTTCAGTCTGTGCTCTAAGAAGCTTTTTGCGGCCAGCTAGAGATGCCTTGTCCATGATCTTCATAGCAAAGTAGCATTTCGTGCCACTAAGCTCTGATAAGTAAACACTGCCAATGTCACCACAGCCAAGCCTCTTAAGCAGCCTGAAGTGACTCAATCCTAGCGAACCTTCTTTGGTTCGGATCACCTGAATCGCCTCCCACCTTGAATCATTGGACTTGTGAGGCTTGCTAGCGCTGCTGCATATACTGCTACAGGTGCTATCATCACTGACATCACTGCCGGCGCTAGCCCTGTAAACGCTGCTCTTCCCGCTCTGGACCAAATCAGCGTGGCCGCTGACCTTGGTGCTGCCGCTCGCCTTTGTCAGGCTGCTTGCTCCGTCGCTGAACTTGGCAGAAACCGAGCTATCCTTGACGCTCCCACGCAGCGAGCTCTTCTCGGCGTCTTCATCTTCGTCCAGTTTCACAGAGCCATCAACAGAACTGCAGTCCTTATCTTGTTCTTTCACTCCACTGGACGTGGCCACATCACCTGGCGGAACTGCTCTCGGTGAGGCAGGCCCCGATTTGCTTGCTCCCCCAATTAGCTCCTCGGACTGCCTCCTGGAAGGCGCGGCCTCGGAGGACTCGGCGGCGCTTTTACTGCATTGCTTGTCATCGACTATCTCAGCAACGGCCTTGGACGCCATCGCAACAGGGAGTCGACCAAGAAGCCCCTAACGGCGCCGCCATGACCCTCCTCCCATCGCCGCCGCGGTCGACCGATCAATCAGCGGCCGGGGCAGTGAAATCGAGACCTATCATCACAAGGGTTCGCCCCGAATTAGATTCAGCGAAAGCGATGCGGGTCAGCCGCCTAGCGAAACCGACGACGAATCGGGAACCAATAATTGCCGAATTATTAGCCGGATGGATCTGGCTGGGATCGAGAGGATCCCCTCCTCGCGGTGGGAGTCGGGCGGGGGACGGGAGTGAGGAGGGTAGAGTCTGCTTACTGGTCAGCCGTGGCGCCGTGGGAGCTCGCCGCCAGCGGGGCTGGGGAGGGGATCGAGGGGGGCGCTTCCTTCGGCTTCGGGGGAGGGGAGGTGGCTGGCAGCGGAGGGGGGAGGACGAAATGAAAATCAATGAGAGAAACCTAATAAGGAGAAAAAAACGAAACGAAGAAGAGAATCCAAAAGAAAATGGAATGAGGGAACGGATTGAGTGTATGCCTGGCCCACTTGCCGGGCTTAAGTGAAAGTGAAGAGCCTCCTCTTCCGATCTCCACACTTTTCATCGTATAAAATATTACACCTTCCCTGCCGTGTAAGACTAGCCACAATGCATAATAACATACACTAGTAACATATACAAATCCCTAGACTATATTATTACCTTCATAGTGGGTAGTAATATAAGTGTGGTAACATGCAAAGCTTCATTTATTAGGTTATAGACTCATATTGCATTGGGACATGTGATGTTACAGTAACTAGTTAAGTTACTGTAACTACCTCTCTCTTCATTAACTCGATGTTACTACTGAAGTTACTCCCACTGTGACTAGTCTAAATATTTTTCCACTCTTCCGTTTACTGGAGCACCTAATTTATGGCTACCTAGAGGACCATCCTGTGGTTGGACAGGGGCCGCTTTTGGTGTCGCATGAAAATGAAATATTCTTTTAGTGGAAGGTAACGTTCTCGTCGAAAACGAGGTGCATGTGATGAGTTCATCTATCTCAAGACATGTCGGTTCAGTCTCTTGAAAATGCCCATAAGGTAATGTGCGTGTACGTGTGTTCATAAGAATAAATATATGTACTTGCTTATAAACGTCTACATCTGTATTGTGTTGCTCAAACAAAAAATTGCTACCCGTTGGAATGGTCACATTCTCACCCCCCTTGGCTCCATCGAAAGTACTCACGAAACGGCAACCCCCTCCTCTTCTTTGTGTCATTGGTTTTCCTAGATACTCACCCAAATTTTGTTTTTTAATATAGAAGATAGCTTTCAAATGGTTAAGGCGAGTTTGGTTTGCAGCTAGACTTGGCCACATGTTTCATACAAGGTTGTGGCATGCCACAAAAAGGGTGGGAAATAAATTGATCATCATAAGTGTGTCAATATTTAGCAAAAGTATATGCATATGACAGGTGAGACATGATGTTAAAAAAGGAGCTCTACTACGTATACATTGCTCTTCGTATGATTAATGTACAATGGTGAAAATCAAACCATCCTTATGTAAAACAAAACTTTGGAACTCTCTTCGAACAGAAATCAGGCACAAGTGTTGTATGCATAGAAGTTCCGCTAAAAAATTGTGGCATGCCACAACCGTGGCCGTTGCAGAATCCGAAACCAATAATTGCCGAATTATTAGGCGGATGGATCTGGGTAAGATAAAGAGGATCCCTTCCTCACTGGGGGAATCGATCAGAGGGTGGGGGGAGGATAGAGTCTGCTTAATGGTCAATGGTCGCACCCTAGGAGCTCGCCACCAGTGGGGCTGGAGAGGAGATCGAGAGGGTCTCCCTTCGGCTTCGGGGGAGGTGGCTGGCAGTGGAGGAAGGACAAAATGAAAATCGATTAGAGAAACCTAACGAGAAAAGCAAAATAGAAAGAGAATCCAAAAGAGAATGGAATGAGAGAACGGATTGAGTGTATGCCTAGCCCACTTGCCGGTCTTGAGTGAAAGTGAAGAGCCTCCCCTACCGTTTACTGGATCTTGACACTTTTCATCGTAAAATATTATACACTTCCTTGTCTCATAAATATTTTCCCACTCTTTCAGAAATGCTCACAAAACACACATACACTCACTCCTATGAAAACGCATGCACGCATGCCCTATCTCCATGAGGACCTCCGAGATATTGAGTCGGAACAACATGTTAAAATTAACGAAGTCACCATGTGGTCGACGGGAATGTCTCCTCGCACCGAACGAATATCTCTGTTGAAAGGGCATTTCCCTCCCTAAGTGATTTTTGTGTAGATGACAACACAATTGTGGTCTAATCATGTGCTTGAGCAATACATGTATACTGGAAAGTGGCACAAGACAGTTAGATACCCCTCTAAAAATAGAGCAAAGACAATGTTCCGACAATTTCATTTCACCGAGACAACACAAACATTAGAACGAGTGGAGCAGTCAACACCACCACAAAGAGACACCCCCCCCCCCAAGTCGAATCTCACTCCAGGACGATGCCTTCAAGAGGGAGGGTGACATTGAGTGTCATCCTAAAAGTCTTGAATCGAGGGTTTGCGTTGGAGCAAAATGGGAGGGACAACGAAAATAGACATCCACAAATGCATTTAGGAAGGCAGCAGCCGACAGCCTCACCATCCCGCACCTGAGGCTGGTCCACCTAGAGCACCTCTGCCATTGAGCATTTGTCATGTACAGACCTACCCAGCCCACCACGCCAGATCTACAGAGGAGCCACACCATATTGTCCACCGCCAACCCGGGCCAGATAAGCCACCCGATATAGGGCCAAGCCAGAGCACGAGGAGGGCCGAAGGCCAGTAACAACAACTCCCAAGGAGTCGTGTCGCGCCGCCTCACACAAATCCAGCGTCGTCGAGGGCTGAAGCCACACCAAACAGAAAAGGGAGAGCAAGGTGACCGCATGACAACACGCCACAGTGCAAGACGCGTCAATGTTGCCGATGAACTCTGCGCCGCCGAGGTGTCGTGGGGAACGAGCACCTATGGGGCAGGGCCCCTTTTCGGTCCGGCAGGGAGCGGAGGGCGCACGAAGAGCAGATCGAGGTCGAGCACGCGAGGGATTTTACCCAGCTTCGGAGCTCTCCGGAGAGATAAAACTCCTACTGCTGCTTTGTGTTTGTATTTGTTCTTGCTTGAGAGTGTGGGTCTGTTGTAGTCTCGAATGAGTCGAACCCCTTCTACGTGCGCATGGGCCTCCTTTTTATAGTCTAAAGGGGTCACCGACAGGTGGCAACGCAGAAAGAGGGGTAAAAAGGTAAAAACGGGGGTTGGTACAACCGCTATCAACAGTGCCCCCCTACCTAACTCTGACGGCAGGAGACAAGGGCATTTAATGCCCGTCCGGTCGCCCAAACAGTGCAGGAAGCGACCGTTAGGGGCGCCACCGATCGCCACGATGGCCTCCTCGTCATCTTCTTTTGCCACCTCGCACCGCTTGGCTGCACAGCTACCCGCCACGTGCACCAGGAGCGATCCTGCGGCGACACGTCGTCGAATGCGCTGGAGCGTGGGCGCAGAGTGGTTGCTTCGCCGCGGCAAGCGCCTTGCCGCGGTCGCTATCTTGTCGCACCCGCAAGCTTGCCGCTCGTCGGGTCTTGCCGGGACGCGCGGAGCGTCGCGGCAAGTTTTCTGAAGTGCCTTGGTTGGCCTTCCCGGCAAGCTCCTCTTGCCGGGGTCTTGTCCTTCCCGGCAAGCTTCTCTTGCCGGGGCCTTGTCTTCTCGGTTAACACTTTGTTCTTGAATGGCAGTAAGAAGAATAACGAAGGATCTTGGCGGACGCCCGGCAAGCCTTGCCGCGGGGTGCTGCGACTGCCCGTGTCCAAGTTCGGGATACTAAGGTACCCCTACTTTAGTACACCGACAGGAGCCCCCGGGCCTGGGCCATACACGGTGCCGAGCGCTGTTGGGCCAGGCCCAAAACGGGGCACGGGCACGCGCGGCCTGGGTCCAAACCAAATCCACTCCGTATCCACCGCGTCCTCCCGTAACGGCACGCGTCAATCGCGGCGTCGTGGGAGAGATCGTGGGCAATACTTAAATCCAGGAAATGCGTAACGTTCGCCTCCCCTGTTTATAAGCAGAGGAAACAGGGCCGTTCCCCCACCTTCGCCACTTGCAGTTCCTTCCTCTGAAAGCTCCGCCGCTCCCCTCCGCTTCCCGAGCCGAAAGAGAGCAGCGCTCCGCCGCCCGTTGCCGCCGTCGCCCTCAACACCTCCGCGCTCCCCGCCGCTTCCGCCATGGCTCCGAAGACCAGCAAGGCCACGAAGTCAGCCGAGG